TCACTTATCAAAAAATTATGCAATCAGAAATTAATAAGACAATCATGATTATTATCATTATATTTGTGTGTAGTAGTACTGCTCTAAACCTGAAAACACCATCATCAAATCCATCGTCTTTGAATGATTTAAATACTCAAACTCACGAAAAATAAATGATTTATAAAGAGGAAGTAAAAAAAGTAATATTGCTTGTAGGTATTTTAAAACAAGAAGGTGATGTTGTGGAATATCAAGCAACTCTAAAGCATGGCGATAAAAGAAATTACGTGTGGAAAAGGATTGATGACTAATAGTTAAAATTAATTTTTTCTCATTTTTATGCACGCGTATATAAATTTTTTTTTTGAAATTTGAAATAAATTCTTTCGAATATGTTTTTCTGCGAATTCGGAAACGTAAATGAAAATCTCGATGGCTCACTTTGCTCCCTCATTTGTAAACTTGTTAATATTAATATATTAATTCGAATTAAATTACTAGTTTATTCATTTTATAAAATATAAGTCTTATTTCTTTAACAAGATAATATAAACAATAATTATATTTATAATCTATAATTGCTAGTACTATGACTTAAGGAAATGTCAGCTACTACTATTTATTATTGCCACTATATTCAAGGACTAAGGAAAAATAGATTGATAAAGAAAATTTTTTTTAATTGGATTGGATTATTCGAATTATTATTATTATTATTAATTTTATTATTATCGTTCATTTTATTTGAATTGCTAGTTTTATTTGAATTTATTTGAATCAATTATTCGAATAAACTTTCAATGTAATTCGAATACTCAAATTCATAACGAATAACGAATAAAATGAATAATTCGAATAAACCTTATTCGAATAGAAGCCCTAACACGATGCTTTGTGCTTTATGAAAAAAAATTTTTTTTAATAATCATCGAAATAAATTCTTTTGAATCCATAAAATAATCAAATAAATTTAATTTTTATTCTTGGGGAGTAAGTATTATATTGCAACTTTACATACATACTAATTTCTTTTTCTTATATCTTGAATCAAACATTTATTTACACCTATTACACATGATTTATTGCTGCACCAGAGTATCAATATATAACTTATTACAATAATTTATTAACAGCTCCTATTAATTTTGCAGAAGAATCTCATATAGGATATTGACCTAAAATCTCCAATACATGCATGTTTGTACGAAGATATTGCAAATCCAGAAAGTCAGTTGACATCATGTTGAGAATCGGTTGAATGTACTAATCTCATATTCCAGAATTATCATTGTTATATTCGTTTTATATATGCTTTGCAATCCCATAGGTCAGCAGGAAATGTCATGTGACTAATGTGACTGGATTTTTTGGATTGATCCCATCCATGGATCACTCATAACTGGTTAACATTTCTACTCTAAATTATTTTATACTGAATGGGATATTTTTTTATATTCTAAATAACAAAATGAATCAAGATACAGATAATAACTATTTTAAAAATATGTAGTAATAGTAAAAGGATTTTTACATCATAATTTAATATTTTGCTTTATTATTTTGAAGAGCACCCCTGTACTTTTTCTAGTAATAATGGGCCAAACTTGAAAAGGACGGGGGGACAGGTTCAAGCCACACCTGCCTATCCCGTCCTTTTCGTGCGTCTCCTTACCCAGCTGGTTATTGTAAGAAATAAAAAATAAATTTATTTAATTTTAATAAAGTTGTAAAAGTTAATTTACAATATAATACTTACAATCTATAAATAAAAAATAAATTTATTTAATTAGATGATGTTTTAATAATGTTTATTTTGTGTTGTAAAAGTTAATTGTAATATGGGGTATGCTGCAACAAGACAAAGTGAACATGAAAAATTTTATAAACAAACAAATTACCAATCTAAAATATTTTTATTTATTTATTGCAACCAGCAAGATAATTTTTATTTTATATTTTTCTGATTAGTTATTAGTTTATAATATTACTATTAATAAGTTGTTTATTCTGCACTATGATTCTTGGCATGATTACATAATGCAATAAGACAATGAAGTACTTGATGACGTCCCATTAGCAGTTTTTAGGTCAATACCTGAAGTCTTAGTATTTTGCACTGGCCAGCGTGTCATGATAATATGTTCATTAACTGGCAAACTAATAGCCAATTCTCTAAAGTAATTATTACTGACTTCAAAGCGATAAAATGATTAAATTTTTTTTTAAATTTTGATTGGTGGAAAGAATTGAAATGAAAATAAATTCTACTCTGGAGGAAGATTTATTTTTAATAGTAAAATAAATCTTAATCAAATCCTAAGATTAAATAAATCTTGATCAGCAGATTTGTAAGGGCAGATTAGTTAATCTAATCTTAATCAAATCAGAAAAATCATTTGTGAGGATGCCCAATATTTCTCTCTGTGATAAAATTATGAGGAGGTGGTAAATGGTCAATTCTTGATAGGAGAAGCATAGTGGAAGTTTGTTGTTACACGAAACGTTATACAGAACTCATTGCTTCTGAAACTTCGCCAGTATATAGTTATTACCTCTCTAAATTGGAGATCAAGTTCAGATCCAATTCAAATCCAGTTTATCACTTACTTTTTATTGCCAGAATGTTTGCCATGTATTGTAAAGCTACATTGCACAATATAAAAAATTAGTGTAACATTTCAAATTTCCACTATGCTACTGAACCGTTAGGATTTTAAAAAAAAAAATTTTTTTAAATTTGGGAGTTATAGTGGGAGTGAGATGGGGTCGAAAAAGTATTAAAAAAATTTAACTAAATCAACAACAAAATCAACGAACGAACAGAACAAACAGAATAAACAAGAACAGAATCAAATTATAACAATACATTCTTATTAATGTAAAATAGTAATAAGACTAATACTAATAATAGTGTCCTTAACAACAATAGCGGCGGCAGTAGTAACAACAATAATGAAGAGCTTGGCACTAAGTTTTTTGGAAAAAAATTTTGCAAAAAATTTATAAATCATATTAAAACATTTTTGACTTTTAACGAAGAAAAAAATTTTTTATCGAAACAAATTTTGCAAATTAAAGACGAATATAAATGTTAATTAAAGAGAAAAATAAAGCAATCCAAGAAATCAATAACAGCACTTAAGCTTAATAATGTCAGTCTAACAAATAAAGTAATAAAATAATGATCTAAATTCGAACATAATGGAAAAATATGCCGCAAATCTTGTGCGGTTTTCTTCTTTTATATTCGGACTAGATTATCCCTCCCTTGTGTCCGATTCAACCAGCTTATGGCAAATAATGAATTAATAAAAAAATAAAATAAATGAATTTCAAAATATTTATTCAACATGAGTAGCTAAATATATAACAATTTAGTTCAAGAATATAATAACACTAATAGCATTAATCAGAACTTAAAAAGAAAGGTTGATTGTAACTAATATTAATTTTGAAATCTAAAAAACATAATTCAGAGTTACAATTTTAATATGATTATAACGCTGTAAATAATAATAAAAAAGTAACATTATTAAATTAAGGGCAGAAATAAGAATATAAATGATTAAATCAATTATTATCAAAAATAGCATCATTGTTGTCATCAAGTCTGTCAACAATATCATCATCATCATTAAAACATCACCATCGACAGAAACATCATATATATATATTTACATCAACAGGAACATCACATATATTTAAAAACCAGAGGTCAACTCAGTTTTCGCAAGATCTTTCTAGATTGCAAGATAAAATTCAGAATTGTATTACAAATTTAAGAACTATAACCATGGAATTTGATTATAACAATTTAGATAATCTTTTAATAAATTACAAATATGTAACTGGAGCCAAAAAATCACAAACAAATAAACTGTTGGTTAAGGCTTTATTGCAAAGAGCAGTTTTTGACAAGTTGATTGAATTATTAAAAGATTTTGGAAGTGATACAAATCTCAGAGTGTGAATATGATTTATATGAATTGACAAATGAATTATATGATTCTTCATTTGAATTTAATTCATATAAATTGAGAAACAAGTTGTATAATAAAAATAACCAACTTAGCCAAAATCAAAATAATAATAATCCATCCTCCGCCACCTTTCTTGACCACATCTCATCATCATCTTCATTAATAAAATGTGTGAAGAGGTTTTGGATCTTTCGTATACAATGATAATAATGACAATGAAGAACATGGATTTAATAAACAATTGCTTGATCAACATATGAGTCAACACAGAAAAATTATAAATCAACAAAACAAAATTGAACTCACTAAATCATCAGGTGAAAATATTTCATGTTGCACTTTCAGAAGATATAGATGATCTTGAAATTTGTTGGACTCTTAATGGATCAGCAATTGATCCAGAGTTTATGAAGGGCCAATGGGATTACAACAAAATTGTATGGTAGAATTTGTAGATTTCTATTAATTAGATTTTCCAAGAAAATATATTGCTTGCAAAATATTTATTGACAAACTTGATAATTCCAATACAATAATCGAATCCAATACATCAATTAAGTTATAAAATAGAAGGCGAGTGCTAAAGATAAATTAGGGGCTGAAACAGTATGGGCAATTGAAACAAGATTTGATGGTGGTGGATGGGCAACTGGAACAGCAACTGATGATGAATTCAATGGATTTTACAGAAGCCCAAATCAAAAACATTACTAAATACCGAAGGTAAAGAACTTCTGACAAAAAAGGAATCACAGATATTAAAGTTATTACGGGTAACTTTACTGCTGTAAAACAATCATACGATAAAAAAGGAGAGAAGAAACATGAAGAGCATGAGGGTATTGTTAATAGAGTAGCATCAATCATTGGATAGGTATTTAATGGCTTTTTTTTGAAAGCATGATACCAAATCGGTTGAAACCTCAAAAATTATCATCTCTAAACAAACCAATGAAGGCTCATTCCATCTTTCCAACACACTTATGAAATTCTTGACATTTCTTAATATACAAAATTTCAATCATTCACATTTACCATTCAAACATATGCTGTCAGTGAACGTCTCAAGAAAACCATTACACATTATACTTGGTGGACAACTACAATACCATTAGCTATCTAAGGTTACATTTTTCCTCTCATGAAACAACTTGGAAATTTTAGTATGAAAAGGCCAGAAAATGTTTAAGTGAACAAATCAAAGGTGCCAACTTGAAGAGGAACTTTTGAAAATTTGTTCCAAACTTGTTGAAGAAAAAAAGTGACCACTGGTATTAAAGTTTACAAGTGACCCCAATGCCGTAAACAATCATGTGATAAAAAGGAGGAAAGCCGTTGGATCTGTATTTAACAGCTTTTTTGGAAAACATGATATATACAAATTCAGTTGAAACCACACAAACAATCATCTCAAAAAAATATGGGCAGATTTTATAAGTAAATGCTAATAAGAAATTTTTAGTACAACATAAATATATATACAATATTTTACATTATATCGTAAATATACAAGTATATAATCAATTGGTCATATGTAATGTATACAATTTATTTTGTGGAAAATAAACAAATCGTACGATTTTCCTTTATTTCTGGAGAAAATGAAAAAACTTTATTACTTAGAAATAACGACATTAATAATGATTTAAATTTTTGTAAAAGTATTATTTATTTATTTTACAATATTTCTTATTTTATCATTTATATAATTGTTTATTGATTTATTATAATTGATATTAAGTCACGCACTCTTGATAAGTCAGTTCTCCCAATAAGTCATGACCGACTTATCAAGTTACTATGTACACTGATCGTGACAATTCAGGCCACAGTTAGTTAATTATGTAGATTATTTTAAGGAATTAAAAATCTCAGGAAAATTAAAAAAAAGCTTTATACATAGAAAACATCGATTTTTAGCAGTCGCAGTAATTTAAAACAGTTCATGTTCGATACACCTATTTTTTTTCCTAAATGAGCATCGATTGTTGGTTGATAAATAGTTAAGAAGGATAACATCATGATCACATGGATCGTAAGATAAAAACTGTCCAAGCCATTTAACTAAGCACGAAGGTTAATGTGTAGTCACCTGATTTTGTTCCAAAATTATTTTCTTTAAAATGAAATTCATGAGAAGTTAATAAACTGTTGAATATTTATTTTTTGTATCATAATTTTTTATATCGCCTTTGTTACACGTTATAATATTAAAATGATGATATTCGCTACTTATTTAATGATCAGCAAAGTAAAAAATTGTCATAAAATTGTCGATCAACCAACTTTTAAAGATGATTTTACGAAAACCACAAGGATAACAACCGAATTTTTATTTCTAGATCAATCGGCTGAATCTCAATGATCATTTTCATATTAGGAAGTGATATCCATTTGAGGGATAATATAATAATATTATTATGTAGTTAAACTTCAAAGATATGCAATGCGTTGAAAACTGTGATCAAAGAAACGAATAAAAAATATTTCGAACAACCAGTTTGGCAAACTTTGAATATATTTATTGGTAAAGCTTGATGTTTTCTAGCTGCTTATGTTTATTGGCTTGGGAGTATCATAATGACGATGATGATAAAGGTAATGACAATTCAAAAGGGAATGGTGTCATTGTTGATGATGATGGATACTTGCCTTTACCTCAAGGAAATAGCCAAACTAGTATCGATAATACCGACATTAATTCTAATGCTGATGATATTATTGTTGAAGAAGAGATTAATGTTCCTACTAAAGAATTGAAATGTTGGAAAATACTTTTATTTTTGGTTTCCAACAATGTGTGATATTTGTGGTGCTACAGTATGTAACTATTACTATATATCATTATTATACTATCAATCAATATATCATGAGTAGTGTATTATTTCCATCAAAATGTACTGATGATCTTCTTAGCAGCAATTATAACTTAACGATAGTGTATCAGAAGCATTTTTAGGAATATTTTGCACAAGTATTTACCGCATCTCAGTTTGTTATTGAGAAAAAATCATGGAAACATATCAGATCAAACCATTGAAAGCTGTAGACTACAAGGGAATTTTTGGTTTAGGACAGTGATTTTCGGAATAGTAATAGTAATAGTAATAGCATTTATTAATTTCGGATCAGACAACGGATGGGAGGTTAAGGTTCGGATGCAAGTTCTAGTTAACGCGTTATTCTTTAATCAATCTTGATTTTAACTCTCTTTTCTTAAATGTCGATTTTAATAAAGGCGAGTTAATTAATTACTATTAACAATATTTTTATTCTCATTTGATTAATTAATAAAAATTAGATTCTAGTGATAATAGTAAAGGAAAAGATGTTGAAAAAATTAATGAGGTTAATGAATTATATATTTATTTATTTATTTTTTTATCTTTACGAAATTTTCTAATTCTGTTCTAGAGCAGAAAAATATTTTGATAAATATTTGAATGTTCGGATCAAATAAATTCCTTTATTATTGTTGTTAAAGTCACATTTGTGAATGTTGTCTTTTCTTTAATTCTTTTATTTCATAATAATGAATGTAGCATTGTTGAATTCATGCCGGTGATGGAAATGTCATTTGTGTAAGATTAATAGAATCTAACATGTTGATGCTATATTATTGATTTAGTAATAATAAATGGTAAAATATGAATTTTGATTATTGTTTATCCAATTGAATTATTTACAGAAATGATAAATTGATAGATTATCAAATCTAAATTATTTATTTTTTTGTTTTTTAAAATAAATAACCAAAAAATGTCTGTTAATAATAAATATGAAAGTCCTTTAACATCTCGATATGCTTCACCAGAAATGGCGGCGCTTTTTTCTCCAGCTAATCGTTGTTACATTTGGAGAAAACTTTGGTTGAAATTAGCTATAGCTGAAAAAGAGTTGGGCATACCTGGCATTACTGAAGATGCCATTCAAGAAATGGAAGAACACTTGGTAAAATACTATTTTATTACTATTATCATTTCTTTATAAAAATTTACTAATGTTAAATATTTTTTTTTAAAAAAAGACTTTAACCGAAGAAGATTTTAAAGCAGCAGCAATAGAAGAGAAAAAACGTCGTCATGATGTTATGGCACATGTTCATACATTTGGTTTAGTTGCACCAAAAGCAGCTGGAGTGATTCATTTGGGAGCAACAAGTTGCTATGTAACAGATAATGGAGATTTGATTATTTTACGTAATGGGTTAGAATTGTTGATAAATAAGTTAGTTGTGGTGATTGATCGTTTGAGTAGATTTGCTGATACCTATAAAGGTTTACCAACTTTGGGTTTTACTCATTTTCAACCAGCTCAATTAACCACTGTTGGTAAAAGAACTACACTTTGGATTCAGGTTGAACAACGTTTTTTTTTAAAAAATCAAGATATATATTATGTGTGGATAGTTAATGAAACTTTATTAATATTGATAAGGTTATTTAGGAATTACTTTGGGATTTAAGGAATTTTGAACGTGCAAAAAATGATATCGCATTTCGTGGTGTTAAAGGTACTACAGGAACACAAGCATCATTTTTAGCATTATTTGAAGGTGACCATGACAAGGTAAGAAGAGTGAGGAAGAGAGGGAATAGAAAAAGGAAACAATCTCTATCGCCTCAATATATAATATATGAATATGAATTGACATTTTATAAAAATTAAAAAATTAATTAGGTAGAAGAACTTGATAGACGAGTTACTGAATTATTAGATTTTAAAGAAACATATCCAGTAACAGGACAAACATATTCACGTAAAGTTGATGTGGATATTTTGAATGCAATTAGTTCATTTGGGTCAACAGCTCATAAAATAGCTACAGATATTAGGCTGTTGGCAAATCTCAAAGAGATAGAAGAACCATTTGAGAAGGATCAAATAGGTAGTTCTGCTATGGCATATAAAAGAAATCCTATGCGATGTGAAAGGGTTTGTAGTCTGGCTAGACATCTGATGACACTTAATAACAATGCCTTGATGACCAATAGTGTACAATGGTTAGAAAGAACTTTAGATGATAGGTTTGTTTTTATTATTGTTATATATAACATTCAAATAGATTAATTTATAATTAAAATCAAAAATATTATATATATATATATATATACAAAAATATGTGTGTTTGTAGTGCCAATCGACGTATTTCACTTCCTGAGGCATTTATTACAACAGACATAATTCTAACATTATTGCAGAATATATCGGAAGGACTTGTAGTCTATCCTAAAGTTATAGAACGTCATATAACACAAGAATTGCCTTTTATGGCAACAGAGAATATTATAATGGCAATGGTGAAAAAAAAGGAGGATCGTCAGACATGTCATGAAGAGATTAGAGTCTTAAGTCATCAAGCTGCAAAAAAAGTCAAGGATGATGGTGAAGAAAATGATTTAATTGAGAGAATTAAAAAGACTGAATATTTTAAACCAATTTGGGATGAGGTAATATTCATAAAAAATTTTTTTTGTTTGTTCTCTCCCTTTAAGATGGGAGATAATCTATTAATATACATATATATTTATTTATACAATCAGCTTGAATCATTGCTGGATTCGAAAACATTTATTGGACGTGCACCACAACAAGTTGATAAATTTTTAAAAGAATATGTACAGCCATCTCTTAAACCTTATTCGGAGATTTTAACTAATGCCAAACAAGCAATTTTAAATGTTTAAAAAACCATCAAAATAAAAAATTATTGATAATTGAAATTTTAAAATTGTGTATATTTTATATATGTACATGCATGCGTGTGTATTTTTTTTTACAAAAATAAATAAATATTAAAACAATTGTATTTCTAATTTTATTACTCATTTTTCACCATGTTGTGTCTATCAACATGTGATTTTGCAACTTTTCCTAATAATTTAACTTGATTAGCAACATCTCTAAGTGCGCTAAGGACTAATCTATTGCCTTTAACAAAACCATATAGATGATATTGGAGATTGGCTTCTCGACAAAATTGCATCACCAATGGTTGACATTTTCTAAGATTGTGTCTTGGTATTCTTGGAAAAAGATGGTGTATAGCTTGGAATTGCAAGCCACCATGAAACCAATCCATCCACCAAGGACAATCAACATCCATAGTTGTGCGTAACATTTTTCTTGAGAATGATTCATTGGTACCAAAATCTTTTGTACACATACCAAAATGTGATAGTGTGATTTGTACATGCAACAACATTGTTACACTATGCGATATTAAGATGTAGATTATTCCTATATAAATATTTGGTAGAAAAGATAATATGAATAGGTACCATGATCAGAATGTTATCATGCCACATATTTCCAAATTTCTAAATAGAACATTTTCTTCATTTATCAGGAAATTGACCGACAGGAAATAAAGATTAAATCTACCAAAACACAAGATTAGGTAATAGGTGAAATGTTGGTAAGAGATCAGAAGTTTTGCTATTGGATCAATTTCCATTTTTCTTTTATAAAAAGTTGAATATAAACCTCCAAATAGTTTTGTTGTGATGGCAAAAAATGGTATATGTTGAATGTCGGGATCATGTTCAGGATGATTTGTTACAATATGATGAACATAATGATTTCTTTTCCACCATCCAATACTCAAACCACCACAAAATGATGAAATGAACACACCGATCAGATTATCGATAACTAGGTTGTGTGTTATACCATTATGTCCTGCATCATGTGCTGTGAATGCAAGTTGGTGCCAAAATGCTCCAAGGAAGATTGCACTTAATATATAGTAGGAATAATCATTGTTTGGGTTGTTTAATACTAGATACCATGCTGAATAAATTAATAGTATGTATTTTATAGTCTCAAGTAAATAATTAAAGTAATTACACTTGTGCAGGCCTTTTTCTTTTATTAAAATGTCTAATTTTCTATAAGCAATTGATATGTTTTTTTGTTCCTCTGACGATAAATTATAAACTTCTTCTTTCCACTCATCTTCTACTTTATTACTCTGTTTTTTGTTCTCTTTTATATCTACATTTTTGTCGTCATCATCATCATCATTATTATTAATGTATTCTCCGACATAAAAATTGTTGATTTTCTGTTGGAATACGTATTCAGGATGGAAAGCATTTATTTCATCAGTTGCATCTTTGCCATTTACATGCAAGATAGCAAGTTCACCACCTGGATGATATTTTATCCATTTGTTAAGTTTATAAACTTTATCATTATAAATTATAACTATTTGTCCATCGTTTATACATTTCTTAATATCTTTTGGTGTAAAAGTTTTTTTTTTATTTTTTAATAATGACAAATTTTTATTTTTGTTGTCAATATTGGACATTCTTAAAAAAAAAATTTTTTTTCAGGAGAAAATATATTATTATTATTATATACTACATATCTAAAATCTTTTTTTTTGTTTTTTTTGTTTGTATTATAGGTTTGTATAGCGGGCGCACGGATTTGTCAATCTAATGAATTACAAGATTGCTTGAACGACCATCCAGATCAATTGATTCTATTGATTGTGCAATTGCATGCATATTAACTCAAAAATGTATATCGCATTATTAATTGTTTTTTTTATCAAAAAAAGATTAAGCCGAAATTACGTGCTCAGTGGAAAACATCTATTAGCAAAAATCATATGATATCATTATTATTATGATCGTTCACTGATCGGCAATTGACAATATAACAATAATTAAAGATTTTGATATTTCTTTATATATAATGGTAGCATCATCAGATCAGATAAATAATTATACCAAACCTGGTTTAGTAATAATATATCAATCAAAATGGATTCAGATTATTTATTTAAACTGATGAGAATGCTATGGGCAAGTAAGTGTACAAGTGTTTTTTTATATCAAACCTTTCTTGGTAATTCCTTGTTTATTATTTATTATTTATTTATTTATTATTTACTATTAGATTTTACTCCTTTGTTGAAAGTAGAATTAATCCAACAGGTCCATTCCAAGTTACAACTACTAACCAAGATGGAAATTTTTTATTATTATTGGAAATTAAAAAACTAATTTTGGTAAAATTAGTTTTTAGTTATATGAATAAAGCATCATCATCATTAAAAAAAGGAATGTTGCATTGAATAAGATTGAAAATAATTTCAAAGAATAATTTATATTGAAGTTGATCTACTGTTAACATCATGTCATTTATGTAACCTTGTGGAGTGCTACCAACATGTTATTCTAAATATCATTTCTTCTATTGTAATTAATTACATGAGAATAAATTGACAATAACATAACATTGGCACTTATTAGATGGTATGATTTTATTAAAAGTCAACCTTATGTTTATGAATTTCCACATTTAAAATTTATAATGGATTTTGTATTGGTACGGAACTTTCTTGAATCACCATCTACTGCGCCTTGTGGTCAAATTTCAAAAATGTCAAATTTTAAAATTTTTTTTTCAATCCATCTAAAAATGCAACAATATTAATATTAACAATATTTTTAAATCCGCAATGTTACACGACATCAATTAATACCTAAAGACAATTTATTGGAATGAATATGAGTAAAATATTGACGTGTTAATGTTACTGTTACACCATTTTTTAAGAAAAGAATCTGTAGATGTCATAATTTCCGCCCAAATTTAAGCGGCCAAATTCCTCGCGAACATAGTAAAATATGTGTACTAAAAAGGAATAGAACTCAACAACCCATCAATATTTTGAAAAAAACTCTATCACATTAAAGCTTGGGTCCTAATCCATGTCATAACAGAGTTATTTTTTTAAAATGATATACAGAAATGAACTTTTATTCTTTTAAAAATCACATACAGAATTGGTGGTTGAAGAGGTCCCGCACCATACAAGATTTAAAAATGACAATCAATTTTTTGTTAATCAATTCATGTATTAAAAGTTTTTTTTAAATAGGTTGTGGGTTTTATAAATCATTGGGGATGGAAGAGATGGGTTAATGATTGATGGAAGAAGATACATTGTAGATTGCTGATACTCAAGTTGTAGACATACATCTTACTTATATTTAATAATCCTCTTAGATATAACACAAGTTACATTGAATTCCACAACTGACCCTTTTCTTGAAGAAAGTATTGTGCCAGTAAAAAAACAGTATTTGCTGTGGGCATCAAAGCACCTATTTTTAGATGCACACTTATTTATTCACCTAAAGATATAAATAACCATCTTGATAATAATAATAATAATAAATCTAATCAAAGTAGTTTGCTTGCATATAATTCAAATATTTTTGCTGCAACTTTTCAACATTTTCATGCATTAAAGCTACTTTACCAGTCATTGACATTAAAGTGTCATGTTGGTTACGTAAAGACTCTGACAATGCTTTAAGATCTTGTTCTATATGTATATATATTAATGATTAATAATCTTTTTGTAAATATTAAAAAAAAAAAAGATAATATATTATTTACCACCGCTTTCACTTTTATTTTTGCTATTTAACCATTGAATCTGTCGATCTAATTCCTACAATGATCAAACATATAAACTATTAATTTGTTAAGAAATAAATTAAGTTTACATGGTCATAAAATCTTTACCTCAATGTTTATTTCATATTGTTGCAATCTACTCTCAAATGATAGTATCAAATCATAATAATACCTTTTAAGCAATTAATTAGTTAGATCAGTTATCAATTAGTTTACTAATATACATAATAATATTAATGATAATACCAAACATAAATAAATATTTACTTCAGAAATACTGTATCACCAAATTTCCTTATATCATCAGTCTGTCCACGAGATGCCGCATCATAGAATTGATGAGCAGCTTCCATATAATTTGCTTGAACATAAGTTTCATTTAATAGATCCTTTATGATGCCTTGATCATTTAATAAATCGTTATTTACTTGAGTTATTTTCTAAATGATGAGTTTTTTATTAATGGCCATTTCATTTTTATAAATAACCATGTGAAAAAAATCATAGTGAAACAATACTTGAAATAAGCCATAAACTGCGTTATTAACATTTTGTATTTGTGATTTAATGTTTGGTAGTGACACGGAATTAATAGATGACATTGTTTTTTTTTGATTTTGTATGTGTTTACTGTTTGATTGATCGGTATTAATTATATATAATTCAAGTAATTTAAAATTTCAATATAAACATATAAAAATGAAAAATACTCTATGGCTGCAAGTTCATTTTGTATACTTTGAGGTAGATCAGAAAAACGAGTGGATTTCGTTATATTATTTATATTGTTAATTTGAGACATTTTACAACAAAAGCTGCCTCTCAGAAAAATATACAAGAGAAAATGAAATCAATCAATCAATATTTAAAAAAATTGAAATATATTATGATCTGCAAAAGAGAAATTGATCAAAACACAAAACTCATCCCCGTGAAACTTCAAATTTACTTTTCGAGACATTCTATTTTTTACATCACAAAATAAAAAATTTATTGTCAATGTTTTTATATTCTAACTATTATTAGTTGTTGTTGTTGTTATTATTATTATTATTATTATTATTATTATTATTACTATTATTATTATTATTATTATTATTATTATATTAGATTTACTTGTAATTTAAAAAAATCCTTAACCAAATTATATAAAGCCTTCAACTATTGTCGCCATCACCATCGCCATCATTACTATCATTATACTTGATAATTCATCAACGATAATGATTAATAATTATACACCGCCAGATGATCTTTCTATAGGAATTCTTGTTTGTTCAAATTTTTTATCAGATTTCAAACGTAAATCTTTACTCTGCATCTCTTCTTTAATTGCTGCCATAAAATCCAAAAACTCTCTAAACTCAATCAACTCATTGCTGTTCTTCTTGTCCTCTTCAAACCTTTTAACTCTTGAAACCAGCGACTTCGACGAAGTAGTTGATAAATTTACACCAAAAATATTTTTAATAATCTTTTCCAAATCTTTTATATCGATTTTTCCACTACCGTTAGCATCATATTCCGAAAATATTTTTTGGAAGCTGACCAATTCTTCTGGTTGGAATTGATTACGCGAATAAATAGATTCGTGAGCTGTTGGTTTCGAGAATTCATTTTTAACTTTTTCAATGGTCAATTTGTCTTTTGATGGTGGTAATCCCATTGTATGTAGGAATTTTACTGCTTTGTCAAACTCTTCCGTTTGCTTTTTTGGTGACCAGTTTAATTCTTGACTCATTATCTCAACTATTTTTGGAAGTGCTTCTAGAGTCGCTTGTGCATTAAGGAAGGCCAAACGTGTACGACGTGCAATTACGTCCTACATAAAATAGTTATGATTGTTTATTCTTATTCGTTATTCTTGTATTTTTTAAAAAAGAATGTAAATTAATTTTTACATACCACAACGGTACAAGCATACTCTCTTCGAACAGCGTAACGAACTTCGGCAGTTATATAAGGATAGACAGATATTATTCTTTGTCCAAAAACGGGCCAACGTATACCAGTAGGTTCTGATAAAGCTGCAACAGCCCAAGCACGATCACCATAACTATTTGATAAATGCTGAGCAACCTATTTTTCAACCAACGACCATCAGATTTGTTAATTTATTAATTAATTGATTAATTAATTTACTGACTGATTATAAAAAAATTAAAAAAAAACCTCAGTTTCTAAACCAAATTGTTGAATCAACTTTATAAACATAGTGCTGGAATAGCCATGTGAACCAATAAGTTTAACTTCTTTTGTACGTGAACCATTCAAAGGATTCAAACCTTTTATTTTTCCAAATAAATAAATAAATAAATAAATAAAATTTTGTAAATATTATGTTATGTTATCGAATTTTTTTTTTCTTTTTATTTGTTCAAATATTAAAAAAACTATACCATAAACTTCAATAGCTTTATCAACAGTGTCCTCGGCCATAGCACGATACGTAGTCCATTTTCCACCAGCAATAGTAATCAATTTAGAATCACTGACATTAATCATATGACTTCTTACTAACTCGGAAGTATTTTTCGCGTTAGGATCACGAACCAATGGTCTAATACCTGACCAAGCTGCGAGCACATCACCACGACGAACTTTAATATCTATTTTTATAATAATAAATTAATATTTATTTTCAGCATTTAAATATATTTCTATAAATTAAATGTAAAGAATGCAGACCTGCACTCAAATATCTTTTTATTTCTTCCAATATCCATTGAATCTCTTCTTCTTTAGCCAATGGCTCAAAAGTTACGTCTGCAGGAGAATCGGTCGTACCGGCTATGACATTACCTTGCCAAGGTAATAAGAAAATAATTCTATTGTCCGAAGTAAGAGGGTCTAGCAAACCCATGTTTCGAGGACTATAATAATTTGGTAATATTATATGTGTACCAGAAGAAGGTGTAACTATTTTTTCTGTTTTAGGATCATCCAATGAACGTAAACCATCTTTTTTATTTTAAAATATAAACAATTGTACAAGTAATTAGTTACATATCAATTAAACAATAAATTCAATTGTGTATATAGTCATTTACCTGCAAATGCACCAGTAGCACTTATAACTCCTTTGGCCTTTACGTCCCATTCTTCATCAGTCAAATTATCTCTTAAACGAGCGCCATTCACAGTCCCCGATTCATCCTTTAATATCTTTATGACTTCGACATGATTAGCAACAGCAGCTCCACAATAAGCTGCAGTTAAAGCAACCGCCACATTCATACGAGCATCATTATGTTGACCTGAATAAAGTTTTATTATTATTATTATTATTATTATTATTATTATTATTATTATTATTATTATTATTATTATTATTGAATGAACGGCAATGATCTGTTAAAACTTAGAATTAATATATATATATATATATATAAAACACATATCACATATAGTAATCATATGGAGATTGTTCTTCCTAAAACTTACCATCATAAAAAACTACAGCACCTACTAATTTATCTTTTTTTAACATTGGAAAAACTTCGAGAGCTTTACTACGAGTTAAGAAATAACTACTTTCCAAAGCTTCTTTACCAGACAATAATTCATAGGCTTTTGAACCAGCCCAATAATATGGAATTTGCCACCACCTAAATAATATCAAAATTTGGGTTAATTCGGATTTAATTGGAATTGAAAAAAGATATTTACCTGTAAATCGGTAACATTATTGGCAATTGTTGACTTAGGTAAGGTGCGATGTGTAAGAAGGTGGCACGTTCGTGAAGAGCTTCCCTAACTAGTTTAAATTGACCATAATCAAGTTTTCTGAAGGCTTTCTCGAGATATCGAACACCACCGTGAACAAGTTTTGTAGAACGAGAAGAAGTTCCAGAAGAAAAATCTTCTCTTTCAACCAAGGCAACCTTTAAACCTCTTGTGGCAGCATCAAGAGCCACACCAGAGCCAACAGCGCCACCACCAATAACTAGTAAATCAAAAGTTGAATCATCCGAAGATGCTTTACTTGAATCGAAATTTGATTGTTTGAGAATATTCAACACTTCATTTCTTGAAGGAGGAGCCCATAAAGCATTTATTGATTTATCATCTATATTTCCTTCGAATTGAACATGTTCGGCATGTGCCTGGTTTAAGAATCGATTAGATAAGTGATGATAGTGATGATGATTTTTTTTTGAATTAATATAATAATAGGAAGAGGCAATTCCACTCGATCCAATTAAAGTAGTGTAAAAAAGTTTTTTGTTGTTATTCAAAAATTTCCACATTATTATTAATTTATTAATTTAATTAATTAATTAATGTTATTTTTTTTTTTTGAAAATAAATATTTCTAAAAAAACTAATCAATTTTTAAATTTTAAATTTTTTGGGTCGTATTTATATTTATGAAATGTCAACATGACACACAGGATCTATGTATGAAGATTGATAAGATATCTAGCTCAATCAATAAATTTACGGAGATATTTACCATAATAAGTAATTAATTATTCTTTCTCATTTATTATATTTATCAAAAATTAATGTCAATATTTTTTCCATGCAAATCATATGATAGAACGAAGGGGAAAAGGAAAAGGAAAAGAACAAAAATATTTCTTTAAAAAAAATCTTGCCACAAAATTTTCAATTCAATTTAATTGGTTGATTTTATTATATACTATGCAGTAGACGTAGAAAATATTTCAACGCACATGACACAATGATTTACCGGTTATAGATATTTGACATGTGCCGACCGTTAAAAACAAAAAAATCTTTGTATTGTTGTTCACCTCCCAAAAAAAAATAATGACCTCTCCAAAATATTATTAAAATCAACCACGCAAAAGAATATAGAAATATTGTTTTTTTTATCAACAATATTTTGTTCCACAACTTTTCCCCACACAATATGATGTTCTGTGATACGACGAGGTATGAATCTTGTTTTACTTCTTGTTTTTCACCATTAAATTATCAATCATAAAAAAAAATATGCTTGAGAATATATTCATTGTTCATAATTGTTATATTTATGCTGTGGTGAGATTATTTAAATATAATAGAGCTTATTATACCATTTATTCTTTTTTTGTTATTATCAGTCATCTATTTGTTATTATTTATAATCATTATTTTGTAATACTAGTCAAATCAGCACATGATGATTTCTACATAAAACTTTAACTTTAAAAATGTGGATTTTTTTTTTTGAAAAAATTTTTCTTCTTTTTAATAATTATCTAATTAATAATTATTTATTTAATTAATAAAGAACAAAATTGTTCTGTAATTATGAGTGAAGAAAGAATTTCTTCTTCATCACCTTCTCTTCAATCTTCAGGTATTATTATTATTGTTATTATTTCTTAATAATTAAAGTTAATTAATTGATATATTCTGGTTAGCAGGTGTAACTTCTGCAGAAGAGCTAGCTGAAAAATACCAAAAATTATTTTCGGAATATTCACGGTTAGTTTCAATGGATAATTATTTTTTTTTGGAAAAAGTTTATTTATTTTTTGTCGGAAAAAATAGGATCAAAGCTCAACAATCAATACTTAAGAAGGCTGTTATTAAGGTAAATTTTTAAATGATTATTTTGTTGTATATTGTTTATGTGATTTGAAATTAATTGATTTGAAAATTGGTGTTTTCATATAGGAACAAGCAGATAATGTGTCATTAAAGGAAGAACGTAGATCTAAAGAACAAGAATTGCGATCAGTAAGTTTTTTCTTGCTTCTTTAATCTCAAGAACCTTTCATATCAATTAACTTGCATTTATTAATAAATAATTCTTTTTCTTTCACAAAAAAAAACATATAATATTTTTAAAGTCTTTAGAACAATTAGATCTTTTGACACTTCATAATCAACGTTTAACAAGACGTATTGAAAGTTTGCAAGATTCAAGCGGTTCGGTATATATAAATTCATTAATCAGTCATTGTTTTTTTTTTTCACCAAACTTTCCTCAAACTTTCCTCAAATATTTATTCGCCTCCCTCTTCTTCCCTAGGAATTAATGTTTATTTTTTATTTTATTTTTAGAGGATATCGTCTGGTTGGTTTTTGGGTTCTGCAAAAAAAGAGCTTGAACAATTAAAATCTAATTTGGAAGCTGCTACAGTAGAGCTTCAAAGAAAGATTGAAGAAAATGGTATTGTCTTTAGTATTATAGCATTTATATTATATGTGTATATATATAAATATACAAATATAATTACAATAAATATGTTTGATTATTATTATTAAATGTAGAAAATTTACACAAGGAATTGTTTGAAGTTAATAATAACTATTCAGAAGATATTAAAGTTTTTCAATCAAGAATTTCTGAATTAGAAAAAAGAGAAGAAGAATTACATGTATTTATTTCATTTTCATTATTTATATCAGTACTAATTATTTGTTTAACAGATAAAGTAATATTATTATTATTATAGTCAGAATTTATGAGATCACAACATGCATCTGAAGAAGCTATAAATGTTTTGGGAAGAGAAAAACATGAACTTCATAATGAAGTTGATAAAATAAGAGCTGAATTAAACATGTAATTATGTAGATAAACTGTGATGTATATATTAAAATAATTATTTATACATGTAAATAATTATTTATACATGTATAATCTTTTATTTTTTTTTTTGCAAAGGACAAAATCATTAATGATAAAGAATGAACAAAAAATTAAAGATGGTGATGATGGTTTACGATATGAAATGGATACACTTAGAGATATTCTATCACTCCATCTAGGTTTATCTGATGACAATAAATTTGATCAATTTGAAGTATTTATATTATTAATATACTTTATATCTAATTTTTAAATTTTTATAAAGTTCAACATATTTATATTTTTCTATTTATGATATATAAAGTATGATTCGGAATTTAGTGAGATAATTGCAAGTTATAAACAGTTACAATCTAGCGCACGAGATTATTTACAGGCTCTTGGAGATAATGTAAAAGATATATATATATAGATATAGATATAAAATTATTTTCTGGAAGATACAAAATATTTATTTATTTATCTATTTTATAAATGATCTATAATAAACAGTCTGATGGAGTAAATGAATTAGCTTCAAAAGTTAAAAAAGCAAGTCAGCTATGGCAACAAAATTTACAGATTTTGGCTATAAAATTAAAATCTGCACAAAGTATTATTTATAATTAATCTCATAAATTCAAATTTTCTATTATGAAATGAATAAAAAAAATAATTATATTTTTTCTTAAAAAAAAAAAGGTCGAATAAATGAATTAAAAGATGAATTAGAAAAACAAAAGAAGAAAGAAGAAGCTAATGGAAACGATTCAAATAACCTCATTATTTCTTTAGAATTTGAAAACAGTAAATTAAAAAATGAACAAAAGGTGAGAGAAGCCAAAGAAATTGATTCAAATAAAAAAATCAAATCATTAGAATTTGAAAATAGTAGATTGAAGAGCGAGTTAGAAAATCAAGAGTTGAAAGAAGAAGCCAGAGAAAGTGATTCTGATAAAATCACATCTTTGGAATCTGAAAATAATAAATTAAAGGAAGAATTGAAAAAACAAAAGATAGAAGAAGAAGATAAAGAGTTAAATCTAAATGAAAAGATTGTGTCTTTGGAAGATGAAAATTATAAATTAAAGGAGGAATTGGAAAAACAAAAGGTGATACAAGAAGATAAAGAAATTGATCTAAATGAAAAGATTGTATCTTTGGAATCTGAAAATGGTAGATTAGAGGAAGAGTTGGAAAAACAAAAGTTGAATGAAGAAGATAAAGAAACTGTTTCAATTGAAATTGCATCTTTAGAAACTGAAAATAATAAATTAAAAGAAGAATTGGAAAAACAAAAGATGGACGAAGAAGCTAATTCTAATACTATCGCATCTTTAGAAGCTGAAAATAATAAATTAAAAGAAGAATTGGAAAAACAAAAGATGGATGAAGAAGCTAATTCTAATACTGTCACATCTTTAGAAGCTGAAATTAGTAAATTAAAGGAAGATTTGGAAAAACAAAAGATGGAAGGTGATAAAGAAGTTGATTTAAATGAAAAGATCGCATCTTTAGAAGCTGACAATAGTAAATTAAAGGAAGAATTGGAAGAACAAAAGTTGAATGAAGAAACTGAAAATAATAAATTAAAAGAAGAACTCGAGAAACAAAATATGAAAGATGAAGCTAATTCTATTACTATCACATCTTTAGAGTCTGAAATTAGTAAATTAAAGGAAGAATCGGAGAAACAAAAGTTGAATGAAGAAGCTAATTCTAATACAATTGTATCTTTAAAAGCTGAAAATAACAAACTAAAGGAAGAATTTGAAAAACAAATAGTAAAAGAAGATAAAGAAGTTGATTCAAATAAAATCATATCTTTAGAAGCCGAAAATAGTAAATTAAAAGAAGAATTGGAAAAACAAAGGATGGGTGAAGAAGATAAAGAGACTAGCTTAAATGAAAAAATCACATCTTTGGAAGCTGAAATTAATCAATTAAAGGAAGAATTGGAAAAACAAAAATTGAATGAAGGAACTAATTCTAATACAATTGTACCTTTAGAGTCTGAGATTAATCAATTAAAGGAAGAATTGGAAAAACAAAAGTTGAATGAAGAAGCTAATTCTAATAAAATCATAGCTTTAGAAGCTGAAAATAGTAAATTAAAAGAAGAATTGGAAAAGCAAAGGATGGTTGAAGAAGATAAAGAAACTGGTTTAAATAAAAAAATCACATCTTTGGAAACTGAAATTAATGAATTAAAGGAAGAATTGGAAAAACAAAAGTTGAACGAAGAAGCTAATTCTAATAAAATTGCATCTTTAGAAGCTGAAAATAGTAAATTAAAAGAATTGGAAAAACAAAGGATGGGTGAAGAAGACAAAGAAACTGGTTTAAATAAAAAAATCACATCTTTGGAAGCTGAAATTCATAAATTAAAGGAAGAATCGGAAAAACAAAAGGTGATGGAATCAGAAAAACAAAGGGTGATAGAAGATAAAGAATTCAATCTAAATGAAAAGATTGTATCTTTGGAGGATGAAAATCATAAATTAAAGGAAGAATCGAAAAAACAAAGGGCAGTAGAGGAAGCCAACTCTAATAAAATAATATCTTTAGAATCTGAAAATAATAATCTAAAAGAAGAATCGGAAAAACAAAAGGCAAAGGAAAAAGACAAAGAAATTGGTTTAAATGAAAAAATCACATCTTTGGAATTGGAAAAAC